AGGTTCATCCAGTGCTGCCTTCTGCGCTACTTGTTTTTCTGACTGTTTAAAAATATGACTATCTTTTTTATTTTTGGTTTGCGCTTTAAAATGCTTGCTGTTACTATTAATTTTACTTTTATTTTTTTGTTATGCATTCTTAATATACCATTGGCACAATAAGATTGTAGCTTCAGGAAATACTATGTTAATAGCATTTTGCTATGCATCATCACAATTGGTAAGAAAGGTATGAGGTTTTTAGCTCCTATTTTGTTTTTTAATGGCTTCAAGCCAACATACTAACGTTTCTTTTGGGCTACAGGTACTCTGTGTTCACCATTATCATCTCAAACGAGCAAGATAAAAAGGTTGGTTTTATGCGAAGTCGTTCCATGAGTACCATTAATGCAAACTATTTGTACGCTCTTCGACTCTAGCATTTTTTTTTAAAACTCTGTTTGGAAGGTGTACATGAATTCTAAAGGTGTACCCAACTTGGATTATCAAACATATGAGAACCATCTTCTTTAGATAAGATAATCCATTCTTTGATAGATGTATTTTCGCTATATCCTTCTTTCTTATTTCCTAGAAAGATTATACCTTTCATCTCCTCATGAATAATATTATATACATCAATATAGAAGATATACAGATCACGCCTCTGTATTAAAGACAAAGCTTCTAGATTATTTGTATTATGAATCTGGTTAACATGCTGGTGAAACAATGACACAATTTGGGAAGAATTCATTCCATCCTTTGCCCTTCTACGAATCTATTCCTTTGCCTGCTAAGATATTTTAAAATAACACAAATCTTTAAGGATATCAGGGTTATATCCATTATATAATGTATAATGAACAATGCGAATACCTTCTTCATCATGATATTTCAATACACGTATGTAAGATTTACAGCCTGTTTTTTTTTATAGCTTTTGAACTAGATGGGAACGACTACTATCAGATGAAGAGTCAATAGTTTGGTTCATTATGCCAGCTACAGATCTTGGCCTCCCATAATAATAGCAAATGTATCTTTCATTTAGCTTATATTCTGAGGTCTCACGGTTATCTTTATAAATATAATTAGCTCTTGCAATATTGAGAAGAATATTTTAATCTATTCTTTGTATGTTTTTAGCTCAAGGTGAGTGTAAATGTTAATATATTCGTTCTTATCTATTTCTTGCGATTCAGATTCTTCTAGCAATTCCAATTCAGGTTCAAGTTTCCCCGACGATTTTGAGTCAGTTTTTTCTTGCAATTTGGATTCAAATTCTTGAACATGTGATGCACGTTCATGTTCTTGTAATTTAGGATCTGAATTGTCCTGCAATTCAGATCCAGGATTATTATTAGACGAAGATGTTTTGGCGCACTCAACAACATTGTTTATTAAATCAGTTAGGACTAGATTTGTGAATATACTTTGGTCTATTTTTCGCGATTTAGATTTGGATAACATTTTTTTTTACAATAATAAACACAATAACGATTAATTTATAAAAAACGATACAATTTATTAGAATCAATTGATTAAAGTATTTAAACAAAATTCTTATACAAGAGAAGTTGTCAAGGTAAACTGTCTTTATATATATTTTTGGATTATGTATATTTAAAATATAAAAATTTACTTTTTTATTTTTGCTAAAACATATAGAATTACAATAATAAGTTCTTAATTTCATTGGTTTTTATTTTTTTATTACTAATTTGATATAATCTAATATTGTGCTACTCTTTTTTATTCTTTAACTTAGATAAAATGTGATATTTTGTAACGATTCTCTGTCAATAAGGTTTTTGTTATGTTACATACAATGCATTATATTTTGGGTATATGTATTTAAAATATAAACTTTTTAACTAAAGTTTTTTTTGCTAAAACACATAGAATTACAACGATAAGTTTTAATTACATTGGCTTTTATTTTTTATTCCTAATTTAATATAATTCAATATTACACTACTCCTTTCTATCCTTTAATTTAGATAAAACATGATATTTTGTTGATGATTCTCTATCATTGGGTTTTTATTATATTATATGCAAATGTGCTATATTCTTTATAACGATTCTCTTTCAATAGGGTTTATTATACTATATGTAAGCATGAAATATTCATTATAACAATTCTCTTTAAACGGAGTTTTATTATGTTACATATAAGCGTGAGATATTTTCTAGCAATTTTCTTTCACTGGGGTTTGTTATGTTACATGTACATGTGTTTGAAATTTCTCATCTGACATGCTTTACTATATGAGTTGTTTTACTAACATTTCCTTCTTTTGGTTAGAATACCTTCTGATTCTGTAATAAGTTATGGAATCTGTACAATTACTAATAATAATAATACTGGTTTTTTTTATTTAAAAAATTTAATTCATCAACGGGAATATATCGCATATAATCTATTTGTAGTTTATAATATGCTCATTACAATTTCACTAATTTTATTAATTTATGATCCAAGGTTTTGCCAATTACACTCGAATCTATCATATAATATTTCAGTCATATGTATTATTATTATCAATCTGCATTTACTTACACTAATTAAGAAATTCAAGGGTTATTACTATTCAGTTCCGTAATTTAGCATATTAAAGAATTAGTGTGTATGATGCAGAGCGTATCAGTATCATTAATTATCTTTCATAGATATGATACGCATTATTTCACTTAGGTATCCAAATTGTCGCTTGATGGCTTTTAAAATTCTTACAAAATTCATATCTACTTAGTTTAATAAAGTTTGTTAATTTTGTTGAGAATTTATAATTATTTAAAATGTAGAGGATTTTATTTAATGCAGTTTAAGATTTAGCAACAGTAGATATTTTAGCAACAGTGGATATAATATTTGATATCATCCGAATAGCAGCAGGATAAAAAGTAATTTATAGGTACATGTATGATTTTACTTATGAGATTAAATTATAAATTAAATAATAAGAATTCTAAGGTTGCTTTATTAAGATTTTATAAACTAGTTACAATAGTTAAATAGGCAATAGCATTATTACTTTTTATTATGTGTTTATACTTTAATGGTTCACTTAGTTTTAAAAAGCATATAAAATGCTGGATAAAAGCTTTTGAGCATAAATATTATAGTTTAGAATGTAAGTTTGTTAGTTTAAGATAGAGCTTGTATATATATATATAAACTGAATTAGTGAAAGTTTAATTTATATCAAAGTTTCGCTATACATTATAACAATAATTTAGTTAAAATTGAAATTTTTGAAATTGATCATTGATTGGTTGATTGGTTTAGAAAATACATCAACTTGTCTAATTAGGCATGGATCATTGTACATATCCAAATTTGGTAGAGGTAAATAGATGCACTCGCCCAAAAATAAAAAAGATAGTCATATTTTTAAACAGTCAGAAAAACAAGTAGCGCAGAAGGCAGCACTGGATGAACCT